GAGAACCTAGAGACAGAAGAACTTTGCTGGAGAGAACATGGCGAAAGATCCTGGACAGAACCTGGCTACAGAACCTGGCTGGAGAACTTAGACAGAACCTGGCGACCAAACCCAGCTGGAGAACCTGGCGACCGAACCTGGCTGGAGAACCTAAGCGAGGAACATGGCTACAGAACCTGGCTGGAGAACCTGGAGAACGTGGCTGGAGAACCTAGCAAGAGAACATGGACACAGAACTTGGCTGGAGATTGTGGCTAGAGATCCTGGCAAGGCCGCTGATCAACTGAACGCTGTCTCCGTGTCATTCCTTCTTTGCCGACTCCGTCCGCACCTTTGGGGACCCCTGGACCTGCTGGGGCTGTACCCCGGCACTCACTGGGCTTTCTGAAGCTTCGTGTATGTTCCTTTCCGGTCGCTGCTGTCATGAGGCAGAGACAGCGGCTGCTCCACCAGGGACGTCCCTCACCGCTGCAGGCTTGGCCTTAAAGGGCCACTGTCCCACAGGCCGCTCGGCTGCTTTGGGGCCATGCGCGTCCGAGCTCCTTATTTGTCTGGGACCACGAGGCTTGATGCTTTAACCAAAAGCACGGCCTTTGGATTCTAAACTAAACACCAAATCTTAAAAGAACAGCCAACCACACAAAATCGGAACATGAAAAACTACTCAGGTGTTTACAAAACTACAAACTCCGCTCTGAATGTCACCTTCCTACAGAAACGCACACAATTAAAGGGAGAACAATGAAAAGGGCCCTAGAACTTTCCAAGACTCAAGTAAAAGCAGGTGAGTTCATTGTAAGGAAAACAGGAAGAATTAAAGATTTTAAAACCCGTCACCCTCCCCTTGCACCTGCCCCAGGCCTGCAGGGTGGCTTGGGGGGCGGAGGGAGGGCGCACAGCAGTCGGGCAGAGGGCAGAGGGCAGGGGCAGGGGGCAGAGGGCAAAGTGCAGGGGAAGGGGGCAGAGGGCAGAGTGCAGGGGCAAAGGGCAGGGGCAGGGGCAGGGGGCAGAGTGCAGGGGCAGAGAGCAGGGTCCAGAGGGCAGGGGCAGAGGGCAGAGGGCCATGCTTCCTCCGTGAGAAAGGAACCGAGCCTCGCTGCTCGGTGGGCTGGCGTTTAGGAAGGGGAGCCCCGAGTTTTACGAGATGGAAGGGGACACACATGACGGTGGTCTTCCCGGCGCCGTTGGCCCCCAGCAGGGCGGTGATCTGGCCTCTGTGGAAGGTGAGGGTCAGGTCCTTCACGGCCGCCTGGCAGGGCTGGTACTCCTTGGTCACGGACACCAGGGTGACACCCGGGGGGCCTCCTTCCCGCTCCCCTTTCCCCTGCTGAGGCCACAACCCTGTGAAAGTGCAAACACACCTGAGGGGTGGCACCGCCCCCGCCAGTGCAGTGACCCAGCCGTGGCCCCAGACATGAATTCTGGCTCCAAAACACGTGGAACATGCAAAAATCTCCCTTCACCAAAATCAAAAGGCAAATTACATAACGGCAACAAGTAAGTGAAACCTCTGGCCACCAAGGTTTGTACCCTCATGGCATCCATTCTGTAATGAAACAAAAATAAGCACCCACGCACCTGCACATGTATGCACATACATGCACACGCACATGCATGGGCACATGCATACACCCACACGTGTGCATACATGGACACGTGTGTCCACACACCTGCACATGCGTGGACACATTCATGCGCGCGCACATGCATGTACATGTGCACACTTACACGTCGGCACACGTTGCATGTACATCTGCAGAGGACAGCAGCAAGCAGGTTAGTCACACACCACAACGACCTCAGGCAATAGCTTGGGTGGAGGAGGAAAAGGTGCTTGCTGTGCCCGATCTCCTAAGAGGCTCCAATTCCCCGTGTGACGTGTGACATGGGAGACCATCCCTTCACAGCCTGACTGCAGAGCCACCGTCCCGAGGGCCTGTGCACTCAGATGCCCGGCCGTCGTCTCCACGGGCCCAGGGATGGCAGGACGGGCAGAGGGGCCACCCTCCTGCCTGTCCCCATAGCTCCCTGGGAGCAGGAACAGGATGCGCCGCCCCCCCCCCGCCCCGCCCCAGGGAAGCACCAGGGGAGGATGTGGGAACCCTAAGTGTCTGCCGTGCCCCATGCCGCTCTGTACACACCTGTGTGTCCGACGTCCTCACGGAGGGAAAACAGCCTGGAAGCCCGAGCGCACGGCCTCCGGGTGGCCAGGCCACACGCGCCCTTCCAGGAGGATGCCACGAAAGGGAAATACCACGGCTTCTGGACACCCCCGGAGCCTGGGAAACGAGGCACCGGTCAGACCCATTCAGCTCTTTTCTACTCAGAACATCCTGCAACAGGACATCCTAACTCTGAACACCGCGTTATTCCATGCCGACACGTTCCACACACGTGCCGTGGACGGGCCAGCGGCAATCTCGGGCCTGCCCCCTGCTCACTGCACAGGGCCACTGGGCCCTCCCTCCCCTGCCCCTGGGGCCTCCTGAGCAGGTGGCAATACAGGTGGAAAGCAGGCAGCTGGGAGAGGACTTGCAGAGTTAGGAGAAGGATGTTAGAAATAAGTTGGGTATTAATGGTGATTTGCTCATTAGGCCATCCCAGCTCTAACCAATCTGGACTTTAAAGATACGCCTCCCCCCCCCATTGATCTATTAACGTAAATGAACGGGAGCCGCCAAACCCAGGCTGGCGGGGCCGGGGCTCCCAGCTCCTCGCCCTGTGCCCTGCTTCCCGTGCACGCTGCCCGCTCCGCGCCGGCCCACCACCAAGTGTGGCTGCGCATCCACATGGGCCCCGAGCTCGCCTCCCAGGCTGGAACCCATCAGCCGAGCCCCACATTGGCAGTGATGGAAGCAGGGAGGGGCGTCAGACAGACCCGAGAATGCGAGCAGCCCACGCGCACGTGAGGAAGATTGTGAGACACGAAGCCTGAGCGGCCAGATGTGCCGTGAGCTGCGGCAGCGGGAGCCTCCTGATGGCCGAGGCCGGGAGAGCCGTGCAGGCCTGGCCCTCGTGCAGCAGCAGGCCCTGGCCTTCCTTCTCTGCGAGGCAGCCACTGGACGTGGTTGCACAGCAGCAGAGAGAGATCTAAACCCGGGTGCATTCTGAAAGCAAGATGTGGAGGGGGGAGCTTATCCCTCAGAGCGGGGTGCTTATCACACCTTCCTCCATGGCTTCCACCAGCTTCTTCACTTGAGTTTCTCCAGGTGTGACCTCAAAGTGCACTTCTGCACCCCAAGTCTTCTGTGTTTAATTGTCTTCAACATACGTGACAAAATACACCGCCTTCATCGTTTAAAGCGCCCCTGAGCACACGCACACTGCTGTCCAACCTCCAGAACCTCCCTCCGCCCACCCACCACCCACTCTCCGTCTCCGTGAACGTGACTGTTCTCGGGGGCTGCTCGGGTCTCCAGGGGGACGGCCAGCAGGACACGTGGGTTCCTGGGAAGAGACTCCCTACGAGGGGCGGGGGCACAGCATGGGTGCTGGGGACTCCCCACCCCCACGCCTCTCGTCAGATCTCCCCTCCCCAGAGCAGGGCTTTTGCAAAACTTGGCACAAGTCTGGGCAGGTGTCAATCCAGAGCTGCCAGAGCCGAAAGCAGCAGAAACTGCCACGAGCTGTGCTGCACACGGCGCTGGCATGGGAAGCAGGGCCGGAGGGAGGGCGCTGAGAGAGGGGCAGGGACTGTTACCTGCTACCAGACAAGAGGGAAGAGCGAGGGGACACACAGGCGCCCCTGGCAGCGAGCCGAGGGCATGGGGCCCAGGGCAGAGCCTGCTCAGACCCGAGGGCCATCCCTCACCATCGTTCCTCTCCCCAGGGCACGGCGCCACCTTCATAAAGACACTGCCCCACCCGCTCTGGGCCTCGTGACCGCTGTTCCAACCCTCGAGTCCTCCCAGGGAGAGCAGAACCCGCCCTCGCACCGTCTCTAAGGAAGAGGAGGACAGGCGCGTCCAGGCTCACTCCTCCCAGCAACACCAGCGGCTGCTCCCCAGCACGCCTCTCCCTGCTGTGCAGCTGCGGGGCCACACCCAACACGCCTGCTCTCTGCGCTCATTAAATCATTCGCGTTTTGAAAAGATGAAATATAAAACGTAGTCAATTCCTGTAGTTTAACTGCGTTACAGGAGAAGTGCATGTTTAAAGCAGAAAAATTAACAACAGAAAAAAGATGTCGCATAAGTCCACATCAACACCCACTTGGCATTTAAACCAAATTACGATGTTTTAAAATTGGTAACTAAATACTGAGATATGTCTTTTTAAAATCTGATTTGAGAATGTTATCATTTTCTTTAAATAGTTTTATAAGCTTATAAATTGTCCTAAACTTTATTTGGCTATTTGCAATTTGATCTAAATTCTTATAAATGAAACTCGATCGATTTTCATTACTTATGTCTTTGGTGTTTAGAAAAACCTTCCCTACCTTTACCAACCGTGCTTTTCCTATTGACTCATTACTCTCACGATGTTGTTTCTGATGGAATATGAACGAGTCAGGTTTTCTCTCTAGCAGGTTAACTGAGTATGTGCCTCTTCTCATTGACTGAAATGCAAACGCCACTACAGTGACTCGCTCACGAGTGGGCTGGCTACCGAGCGCTGCCATCTGCTCTCTGAGGGCTCCACTGTTAACATCCGCGTCGAGTTACAGGAAGGTTTTATACCATCACCGGTTGCTGTCGTTATTTTCAATGATTCTTGAACAGTATTATTAATTTATATGTCTAGCTATCTTTTGGAAACATTTCATCAATTAAAAATTTCCTTTTTTAGTATTTTACTTAAATAATTTGTGTTTTAGTATATTATGTTAACATGTTACATAACTTAAAGTTATATAAATGTCTACATTAGGCCCAGCCAGTGTGGCTCAATGGTTGAACATCAACCCATGAACCAGGAGTTCACGGTTTGATTTCCCGTCAGGGCACATGCCTGGGTTATGAGCTCAATCCCCAGTAGGGGGCATGCAGGAGGCAGCTGATCAATGAATCTCTCTCATCATTGATGTTTCTATCTCTCTCTCCCTCTCCCTTTCTCTCTGAGATCAATAAAAACATATTTTTTAAAAATAATGCATACATTGACTGGAGAAAGTCAGCATTAATTAAACAGTAAACACCCACATTTCCTCTCTCTGTCTCTGGCACAGCAGTTTTACTGCAACAGCTCAGTAGCTCACTCGCTTTCAGTTCATTCTGTCATCTCACAAAGTGTAGGTGTCTTACCAGGAACCAAGTTGCTCAGGTACCAGCCACACAGAAAGTAAAGGCCCGAGTCGACCAGAATCATCCCGCAGACCCAGCCGAGCGCCATGCCCGCCTGCTCCGGAGGCTGGTCCAAGTTGCCCCACTGGACCCCTGGAGGGAGGGAGGGCAGAGTCAACCAGGGAGGGCGATGGGGGTGCTAGTCCTGGAGGCTCTGGCAGAGCTGGCAGCAGCTGAAGCCCAAGGAGGGGCACTGGGTTCAATGCTACGGGCAGAGTGACCGTGAACATTAATATCCAACATTTAAACTTTCTGAAAGGTGCTTTCCTCATTTACTGGTTTTGAGAAAATAGGTATGTGGTACAAAAAGATAAAGAAAGCTCCTTGCAATCCAGACCCTAAATTATACCATTTTCCCTGCTCTTAGGAAATACATAAACAGGACGTACAAGGCCTGGGACGGGCTAGGACCATTATTTCTTACCATGTAGTTGCAATTTACTGCGGGTTAAAATACACACTAAGTAAGATATTCCTCTTCCTCAGTCCCCTAAGGACAAGCCTAGAACTCACAGAATAAATGCTGACGCTTGTGGGAATTTGTCCGAAATGATCAAAGGCCTGACAGTGACTGCTCCCTCCGCCTCCCGGACCAGCTGGTTTCGGAGCCGCTGCGGGCGCTCGGAGGCCTGGCTCGCGCGCCTGTCTCGGCACAGCCTCCGTGTGAAATGGCAAACGGCTCAGCGCGTTCTGCTGAAATGCCGGAGAATTCCGAGACCAGCGCCCAGGGAAAGGGCTAGTACACAGCAGCTGGAGGTGAGTTGCATTTATTGCGTATATCTTAACGGTAAGTGTTCACAAACACCATATAAACATGGAAGAAATATATGTCTGTCCTGGCTTAGGATGTCAGTTGTCAAAATTTCAAGATAAGTGAAAAAGGCTGCCAATCAATTTTTTAAAGTGTTATTTTAGGCTGAATTAATACGGATGCAATCATGGGAGTAAAGTGGATAATCGTACCCTCTCTGCACTGGTTAAGTCCCTTTCTGGACGCAGAGACGAGAGCGGGCAGACCGCAGTGGAGGCTGACGCGTGAGAGAGAGAATGGGAACGAAACTAGGAAAGTGGGCAGAGACCCAGGGAGGCAGAGTTCAGTTCGACAGGACCCTGAGAGCTGGGCGTGTGCACACCCCGTTCCTGGAAGCATTAGAAGGTTGCTAAGGGAACGAGGTGTCGGGGTACCGTGAGGAAAAGCCGGGCATTGGCTGGTGGGCAGACCGGGCAGCGCTGGGCCATGGCGCCGTGGCTACTCCCGAGCGTTCCGAGGGCCAGGGCAGCTGGACGCGGGAGGTGCTGCGCAGCCACACTGAGCACGAGCATCTCATCCCAAGGGCCCTGCTCTGGGGTGGGGACCTCCTACTGTCCCCCCACAACAGGACCCTGCAAACCCCTAGCACCCAGGCAACTGAGAGCGCCTGTAACCGCGCGTCGTCTTACCTGCCTCCTGCCCTTCCAGGAACGTGATGAAAAACACTCCTTGTCCAAAGGCGGTCGTGGAGAGGAGGCACTGCGCAGAGCGAGGAGAGAGAGAAACAGCCGCTGGTGCGTGACGGGACAGGATGTCCACGGCACCACGCGGTTCCCCCTAAGGGCCCGTATGCCCGTGTCCGCACCTGGACACACAGCCCACTGCCAGCCGCCGGAGAGCGGGGGACACGCTCGTCTCTAACGCTGAAAGGAACGGTCTCTCCTGCAGCGCCTGCAGGGATGACCCCACAGTGGGTCATCCTGTGTTCTGTGCTGAGCGAGGCCCCCAGCCCAGCACAGGGTGAGGACGCGCACGTGTCCTCGCCAGGACGACCAAGCGCGAGGGAACCGCCGCTCCGCTTCCGGGGCAGAGCTCCCAGGTCAGGAAGGCGGCTGAAAGGCGGCTCCCGTTACTAAAGCGTAAGGTACCAGAGGCAGGCTTCCCGGCTGGAAACCACCTGAGCATGCAGAGGCCATCAGACTTTGCAGGGAGCCCTTCCCCACGAGGTGAGCGTGAGACCGGCCGCAGCGTCTGAAACCCGTGCGGCGTGAACGGCCCTTTTCCTCCCTTTCCCTCCGTGGAGAGCATACGGGCCCTGCCCGGCCCCAGCGGCTTTCATTCCCCTGAAAACACCCAGCGCCAGCCCCAAAGTGTGATCATGGGTTTTCACAGGCGAGAGGCAAGTAGTCACACTGACGGCACCAGGCCATGCACACGGTGCTCGCCCAACAGGAGCGTCCGTCCGCCTGTCCGCCTGCATGTGGACGGTGCTGTGTGCGTGGCCCGCGGGGACCGGGCACAGAGGGGTCTACTGACACTGGAGAAAGGGATGTGGTTCGCACAGAATATTCTACCCTCAGGTCGGCACCAGCAGGAGACCCTCCCACCACTGACACCACAGGCAGCCGAGGCCGCACCTGCAGGGGGTGAACCCTGAGACAGCCCCGTGCCCGTGCGCTGAGCCCGACCCCGATAATGACGATACGTCCCTTCCCCGCCCACCATGTGTCCACCGGCGAGCGGCACCATCTTCTCCCTGAGTCACGTCAGACCTGGACGTGTCCTGCCGCTCTTTCTAGAGGCGCGTTGAGTGGGGAAAGCCTGACTTTGCTGACGGACAGGCTTCCACTTAATGCGCTGGCATTAATGGAGCTTCCGGGAGAAGGCTGGCTGCTAACGCTACGATATCTATGGAATTGCGTTTCTTCCCACGAGTGGAGCAGAGACCTGAAGCGCATGCTCCCGTGGGTACTGGGGATCGCCCCGTCTCCCCGGGAGGGGCTGTGAGGGGAGAAACTCCCAGCCCCCCGCAGGGCCCCTTAGGAAAGGAGACCAGAAGGCCGCAGGCGGAAAGGGCCGGGCGATGTGTGCTGTGGGTGGTGAGTTCTGTCTCGCTGGGCATCTTGCAAAGCTGCACACTCACCAGAAGCGTCTGGGCGGCCGCACTGAGCCGGCTGCGCAGCACCAGCAGCACGACGTAGGGCAGGAAGCTGGCCATGTACAGCAGGCTGCAGCAGAGCGCGGCCGTGGGCGCCCGCCGGAAGCACGCGCTCAGCAGGTAGCTCAGCATGACCACCGACACCCCAAAGTCCAGCAGGAAGAGGCACACGATGAAGGCGTTGCTGTGCGCGAAGATGCCGCTGGCTTTCAGGACGACGGCCAGGGCAGCGCTGCCCACGGCCATCACCGCCGCGTTCTCCAGGAACCAGGCCAGGAAGCTGGTGGCCGGGTGCACCCCCATCATCCGCAGGTGCTGCGGGGGAGGAAGCCGTTACCACAGCAGGGGGTGTCCTCTTCCTGGGGGAAGGCAGCTGGCGGGTGGGCGCCCCACCAGGACCTCCAGCCCCGCGAGGGCTCCATGCCAGGCAGGTCCCCTGAGCCCGCGTTTCCTTCTTGGGAGCCCACAGAGGCCGGTCCGTCCCATGAGGGCAGAGAGCTGGGCTGTGAATGCGTGGGAACAAGCTCCTCGCGGGAGACTACAGGGGACGGCTCAGGCCGGTCCCGCCCGGCCCTGCTGACCACGCAGGCCGCAGGCTTCCTCATTCCTGCGCCTCCTGCTCACTTCCATTCTGTGCTGTTTTCATTTTGCTTGTGTTGGTTTGGTTCATGAGGACAAAGAAAACAATAAAGGGGAAACACTTTTCCTTAAGTTCGAGGGGTTATGGCATAGGTTTTAGAATGAGTTTTGCTAAATAATTCAGTTTGAAGTAATTCAATAAAATTAATTCACTTGCTCATCTATAACATCGTGATACTGAGCATGAAGAAGGGTTTCCGGCCAAGGAGCTGGGAGCCCATGAGACTGACCGTCCTCCAGGCCCTCTGCCCAGGGCCCCCCTGGATCGGAGAGACCAGGATGCAGGGGGGGGGGGCGTGCAGAGCAGCGGGCAGTGCCACGTGGAGCCGAGCGGGACACGGGCACCCGCATGCTCTGTGCCCAATAAACAGCCGGTAAGCAAACCCTCTGCCTTTGTCCCCCGCCTCACCCTCCTGTGGCTAAAGGGGGCTCCCCAATACTTGCCTTGTTAAAAGCAATTTTGATAGTTTAGGTTTTGACAAAAATAGCAAGGCTGAGCCTGAAGAGCCCCAGCTCCGTTAGGACAGGAAGCCGGCTGTCCTGTCGTCCTGGGTGGAGTAAGAGTGGCTGAGCCCTGGGCGGGCGGCTCCACCAACCAGGCACCAAAGGCTGCCGGCTCGCTTCCGGTTGGGCACAGACCTAGGCTGCGGGTTCGACCCCCAGTGGGGTGTGTACAGAAGGCCACGTGGATGTTCCTCTCACGTCAGTGTCTCTCTCTCCCTCTGTCTCTCCCTCCCTTCCTCTCCCTCTCCCTTTCCCCTCTCCCTCTCCCCTTCCTCCCCAATGAACATCCTCGGGGAGTGAGCACACGGTTTCCCTCCTCCCATGTCACCTGCCTTTCACTTCCTCCATCTCCAAGGAAAGGCCTACTGACCCGCAGGCTTCGGACTGACGGTGATGCTCCCGGGACAGGGGCCCCAGGCTCCACGCGGAGCCCAGCAGAGGAGGGGCAGGCAGAGACCTGTCTCCCAGCAGCCCTGGGCGGCTCACCTCTTCCATCTGGATCTCCCGCTCGTAAACCAGCCTTCGGACCATGCTGGCCACAGACACGATCCACGTCAGCATCATGATCAGGGGCAGGAAGAAACCCACGTTGTTCAAGAATCTGTACGGAGGCACCAGGGGCTGTGAGCGTCAGCGGGTGGCTCTGCTCCCGCCAGGCAGCACCACACTGGGCATGCCTCCCCTCGCCGCCCCCTCCCACAGACACAGTCCCGACGCCGCCCCTCCCACACGGTCCCCACGGCACCCCCTCCCACTGACACGGTCCCCACGCCGCCCCCTCCCACTGACACGGTCCCCACGCCGCCCCCATTCCCACTGAGCACTGTCGGGAACAGCTCCCGCGGCCATGGCCACAGCCTGTGACGGGCAGGACAGCTCTTTGGGGTCCTGGCTCAATAGCTGCGCGAACTCACAAGGAGACACGTCTCGCTGACAGGGCTGTGGCCTCCACCGCCTGCCACTGCGGGTGACTCGCTCCCCAGAGGCCCTGCACCCCTTGGGGCCTGAGGTTCTCTGTCCTGAGCAGCCTTGGTCACCAGCATCGAGGCAGGTGACCCACTGCTCACCACGCATCAGCCACAGGGTTTCCAAAGCAGAGAGGGCGTTCTCCTGGCAAAACGTGGTCGTTTCAGTGTGTGAGGCACGCATCGCCCCTCAAAGAGCCGCGGGATCGTCCCGACACAAGCAACCAACCACCTGACATTTAGACGGTGCTGAGCTAGCGTTCTTCTCTATCTTCTCAGCTCTCGGTCGGTAACCATTGACTTCTAAAGCCAACAGTCACAGAGGAGACAAGTTCCGGTCAGGCACATCGCCCAGCACCCTCCCCCCATCAGATCCCCAGGAGAACAGCCCCCCAGATCCTCAGGAAAGCAGCCCCCCAGGTCCCCAAGAGAGCAGCCCCCCCAGATCCTCAGGAGAGAAGCTCTCTAGATCCCCAGGAGAGCTGCCCCCCAGATCCCCAGGACAGCAGCGCCCCCAGATCCTCAGGAGAGCAGCCCCCAGGTCCCCAGATCAGCGCCCCCAGATCCTCAGAAGAACAGCCCCCCAGACCC